AAAGCTGATCAACAACGATACTCAGCCATCGGTCGACGAAATGAGAAAAGCTGCCGCCAACAGAGAGAATTGGTCTAAGATTATTGTCGCCTGCAAACCCAGACTGTTCGCAGCCGAATGATGATGACATATTACCATAATGCGAAAGAAAAAGCATCAAAAAGTAGTAAATCAAAAAATATTCAAGCGTATAGTGGTCTTTACATGCAGTAAAAACTTTAGCTCAACTTAATAGCAACCTTAACGATAGATTGTACAGTGAAACCTAACCTAAAGATGAACTTCAATGTTCAATTTATTTTTTGTGAACTAAATCTGATAAAAATTTTAAGTCTATAAGATAGACAGTTACTATTCTATATCTTAAGGTAGAAAATAACAAAGGATTAGGATTTTTAGGCTTAAGCGATCCTTTTTCGTATGCTAAAAAGCAAACTTTTGCGTCGAAGTAATCCATTTACAAATCATTTTAGATGTCAGCATAAGACAGGATAACTTTTTAATCAGCACTACAGTAGCTTTGATATTTTCCTTTAGGGAGGAGCTAATAGTGGTGACAATTGGCCAACCGTTTAGTCAAATTGGTGGTGTTGTTATGTTGATCAACTAATTATTTAGAGAGTTACTTTATTTACTGTTCAAATTTTGTGATTTTATCTGTTTTTTTCAAATAGCCGATTTCTAACTGTTGAAACTATTGGAAGAACAATAACTCGTTCTCTATTATGGATGAAAAGACAAATTCTGATAAGATTTTTATAAATGATGTACTTGGGGAAGATATATGAGGATAATTTGCTAGCAAATGGTGATCTATTTGAGTGATTTGACGTATAATAAATGCCAAGTCCTTCGATCGACAGACACTGTGAGTTGTTGCTTTTTGAACATATTTATTTGTCACATTTATTTGTTGTCGTTGACATTTTTTGATGTAAATAGCAAAAAAATGTCTCTAAAAAATGTACACTAAATACAATTACTATATTTGATATGATTTTAAAAGATGACAGATTTTTCATTCTTTATTCTTATAAGTTAATTTTAAACGATTTATTGTATACTGCAGAGAAAAGACATTCATAAGATTTATTTAAAGTTTCAGGACTCTTATTTCTTGTGTAATCTACTACTATGTTTTATCCCTTAATTTAATATTTGTTTTAGCTCATTGAAAATTGTTTGTTGAGTGCAATACATTGATGTCATCAACAGATTCAACTCATTATGGTATATCATTCTTACTTGCTGAGAATTGACAGTTACTATTGAAATCAAAATTAATGTTTTCCACCGTAGACGAATCAAGTTTATTGTATGAAGATCAATTACTTTGACATGTAATTCATCACGTTGTGTTCTCTGATATTATGTGCTTAACTTAGTCAATTTTTTATTTTTCTAGTGGTCTTAAACGAAATATTACGAATGTATTGTTGGTCTCATTAGAAAGATACACAATTCTACTGTTTCAGTAAGTATTTGTCGACTATTTGATTTATTTTTATACTACTCATTGTGTATGGATTAGATACTTATTTATTATTAGCCATTTTTACTTTTAATTTACCGGCGGGAAAAAATGAATATATAACAATTTTATTAAATTTAATTAATATTCATATTTGATTGTTTGTTTAAAGGAAGAAAAACCGATACCAATGTATACAAAAATGAATATGTTGTACTCGACATCTGTTGATTTGTAAATTGAAGTTATTTGTAACATGACGGAAATTGATAATATACTCGCTGCACACTAAATCTACAATAGTATATCCGTTGTTGATAGTTATTCTTGTAAACTAATAATCATTCTTATTTTCTTCTTACCTAAACGACTTACATTTTTTGAAGTTTCATTCAACAGCCGAGTTAATGAATTAAACGCAAAAACGATCTATGATTTATAGCTTAAGATTTGTATTCACCTGAATTATTAAGGATTGCTATTCAAATGAATGCAAACTTGCAAGATGTTAATGATGAGAGAATGAATGATCCTATTTATGTGTTAATATCTTTTACTGTATTTAGTTAAGATTGAAATATTTGCCTACGACATTTTAATGGATGAATAAATGAAATGAAATTAAGAATGATGCGTTTGAAGTATTAATTATGATAAACTATGCCCTTATCAATCATTATCGTCTATTTTTGATATGTACATGCTTTCTATTTATTCTTCATCTCGAATTGTTATCTTAATTTATTGTTTTAAATTGTATTTTATAATAAACACATCACTCACCTTTCGTACATGCATCGTGTGCATTACTCGTTTTTAGTCGTGCGTACACTAGGAAATTATCATAATTCTTTAAACGAAGATTATAAAACAGTGAAAAATTATTGTACATGATAAACAATTTGAACTTTTGGAAAAATGATAAAGTAATTGAGTAACAAAATTTAGGAAAAGAGATGTAAGGAAATGATTAAAATAACGCTTACAGAATCGTAAGGAAATAATCCGTGTTTCTTTTGAATTCTAGGAAAGCAGTATCTAAGCTAGTTTCACACTTTGTTGTTTGTGATGATTTTTTATCACTGCGTTTTTAACAAATATGCAGATTGCAGTAACACGAGAGAATCTTTTCAAATCAATAGAGCTTTTTTTATGGAAAAGTTTGATTATTTAGAACTAATTCTAAGGATCAGTGCACCTATGAGGACGGTGGTTAGATTGTGCGATTTACAAATTAGTTTTCCTAATAAAATTCATCTATTAAATTCTATTTTTAGATCGATATTTCTTATTTGATTATAACAGCACAGACAATCTTAAATCGACTCGTTTCTTGAAATGACGCCATGATTTTATCCTCAAAGGATATAATTATAAGTAACGGAAATGAATACTCGAACAGATCAACCGGTACAACATTCTAGTTTAACAACAAATAACAATAATTTCGTACCATCCAGCACAGCTATAGCACCACAAAAATACGTATCAAATGTTAATCCAGCAGGAGTGATGTCTGATACAAAATTTCAGACTATTGGTCCGGGTGTACCACAGACTGATGAGATAATGAATGTTGTCGATGACAGTAACAATCCTGGACGTTTTCGTATGATACGGGTCGATAGAAGTTTTGGTCGGGGTCGATGGAAGATAAATGACTATGAACCACCCGCAGATTTGAATGACAGTGATGGTGTTAATACAACAAACTTACCCGCACCGTTAACAAATAATGACGGAAAAATAACAACGATGTCATCGATACCTCTCACAAACAGTTCAACAGGAACTTCAAACGTCGATAATACAGCAATGTCCACAGCTGCTACAGCCGCGTAGGTGTTTTTGACTGAAAATAACTGATTCATCATTACTGTTATCTTTCTTGTGTACTAAATCGATGATTAATTTACATTTATATTTGTTTTCAGTGCAGCAGCGGCTGCCGCAGCCTCCCAAAGATTGTCAGCTACGCAAGCTACTGCCAACATGCCGCCACCCGGATTAATTTTTCCACCCTCGATGACGATTCCAAATCTTCAAAATCAATCACTTTTTGTACCAAATCTAAGTTATTTTCCACCAGGATTTGGCGGCTTTTATCATCCACAGTATCCATTCGCAAATCCACAATACGCACAATGGGCAGCTGCAATGGCTGCTAGTCAAGCTCAAATGGGTTTAAATCCATCCACATCAATGCCAACATATTTACCACTTAACCCAACGGCTAATCTCAATGATAATATTCGCCAACATTTAGATGCCAATTTTACTGGTAAGTTAAGTACTTTGACATGAGTACGAGCAATCTTTTCATGCATACTCAATCGTTTAACGATTATTTAGACAGTCTGTGAAAAACTACATTTTATAAGTTAGTAGTGTACAATTTCGATTTCCATGTTCTAGTTCCTGATCACAATGGAGATATTTCATCAAATAATTTATATAATACGAGTGATGCGATGAATAATTCTCAATTTGCACAATATTTATTTGGACAACAGTTTTCATCACCAGTTCCAAATCAATATTCGTTTCCACAACAACAACAGTTAATAAATCAATTACTCACAAATAATTCTATGACAACGAACGAAATGAATGCTCTATCAACCGAGCAACAGCGACAAACTAACCCCGAGGTTTTTCAGCAAAAATTAAATGTATCAGAGCAAGCAAAGTCAGTGCTGACATCGCCGTCAAAAAAAGAAAATGATAATTCGCAACAGCAACAACAACAACAACAGCAACAATCGAATAGTTTAACAAACACAAATCAATTTTCAACGATTAAAAATCTCATTCAATCATTACCAACAACAGCACTTGATTCCAGGACAAATGGACAGCAATCAAACGATAAATCAATGTCCGAAATTCCCACTAAAATATTAGACGAATCAACAGGAAACATGTCTACGTCGTCAACTGTTACACCTCAACATATTCTTTCACCTGTTATGACTGTACCACAATTTCGATCATCTCAAAATGTTACACCGACAACTTTAAATAATATTTGGAATATGACAACAACGCCGTTAAGTTTATCACAAAAGGCTCAAACGGCAGCAGCCACAGCTGCTGTGGCAATGGAATTGTTAAATGTTGGTACTGGAAATGAAAGTAAAAATCAAGAAATAGCGAATGAAATCCTAAAAGAATTAACAACTCCGACTAAACAGCACAAGTAAGGCACTATGTTCTTCATTCTTGTATAGAACAATATGCCTCTTTTTATTAAGGTTGATTCGTCAACTGAGGTATTTATCGGATTTTTTCAAAAAGTTATCATCAAATCAGTTCATTAATTAATTTGCTTGATCTTGTATCTGTAAAAAGCTCCAGACGTTTCTCTAGAACCAACTTAGCTAGAAGTTTTAGTATCCTAAGATCTACGAAAAATAAAAGTATCGTATCAGAATGCATCGAAACACCCTTGATTTATGTTTTATAGTTTTTCGATTGTATGATCTGATATGTTGAAACATTTAATTTCTTTTCAGTTGGATGGTGTAATGAGTATGGTAACTAGATAGAATGTAAATTGTTATGGACTCATTTGAAATATTCTTTAAAGTTGAGGGGAAGTGATCAGTAAGATCCTAAGAGTAAAATTCTTGAGTATTTTTATCAACTTTTATTATTACCATTATATTTATGCAAAAATAATGCTTGATTACTTATTATATATATTTCAATATGCTCAGCTTGAAATAGTTCACCGATGCTTTTTAAAGATTTTTCTTTTCTCAATCATTACTTGTTTAGCGGCTTGAAAACGAATCACCAAAGGCCATTGAGCTCCATCAATTGTACGCACTAGAATAATTCAGAATCTATTTTGATCAATTGATCTTCTACCTACAATGGTAGCACAGCTGTCAATTGTACACTTTTTAGAAGTTTTGAATAAAGTTTAAACCAATTGATGAATACTTAATTATCTAATTTTTCTTATAATATTTTCTCTTCTGTTCTAGTACCACAGATATTGATAACAAGATTTCGGCCGCGATGGTGAGTGTAGAATTTGACTGCTTAAGCAAGAACACATAATATCTCTATTATCTTCTGAATACTTTTAAAATAAATTATTTATTTTATTTTTGTTTAGGATTTGGTCAAAATGCATTTATTATCAGCTGTACGAGAAGAAGTCGTCGATTTACGTCAACAAATAAAAGCATTGCATGAAAAATTGTCTCTATGTGAACTTGAACGTGACTATCTTCGTCTACATGTTCCGAGTGAAATTTTAGCTCAGTTTAATTCTACAATCAATTCTAATTCTAATAATAATAACAGTAACATAGATGGCAGTGTGCCTTCAAATATGACGATAACAAATTCAATCGGTACACCTATTACGAACAGTATTATTACTCCAGCTAGTCAACTTTCGTCTTTACCTCTATCGTCATCAACAACAGCACCACTACCACCTTCTTCTCTAAATTCAGCATTGCAGAACACATGAAATAAAAACAATGTTTGAAAAAAATATATATTTATTTTCTAATTTCTTTTCTCTGTTAACAATTGATTTTTTTCCTGTCTTTCTTTAGCTATCTGTCAAATGCGTGTGTGTATTTGTATAAACAACTTATATGAGCTTTTTATAAATAACCTTTCTTGAAAGGCGAATACTAGCACAAAAACTATTGTTGTCTTTTATGTACTACTTGTTATATGAAGAATAGGATGCGAGGATGACAACAAAAGTTTTTATCTTTTTATTTTCGTGAAATGCTCAGTATGTTTGCTGATTTCATTGTGTTCCAATAAATTGAAGAGATGGATCGCATTCGTATGCGTATTGTTTTCTTTTTTCGTTTATTAAAGTTATATTTGGCATAGATAGAAGTGAAATGAACGGATTGCTAATCTATTTGGTTCGCGTAAAAGAGAAAACGCGCTTTATTCGACTATTGCAGAGGTGGGCAAGTCAGAGGTTTTGCAAGTCACAAGTCAAGTCATCCCTCGAAATTTTCTCCTCCAAGTCAAGTCTGGTTAAAAAATAGGCAGAACATAAAATTTGCTAGCGCCTTTTGAATGAGAGACAGTTTTTATAGTTTCAGAAACTCTGTTTCATGGTAAAAAATGCCTAATTTGGAAGAAAATCTTACTAGGAATGACTTGACTTGAAAAATTTTTCAAACCCACCCACAGCCACGACAAAGTCTCCCAGGTCAAGTCATACCCACAAAATTTTTCGACCAAGTTAAATCTGACTTGACTTGGACTTAAGAGGCATTTTTGACTTGACTTGCCCAGCTCTGCACTATTGTTTTCAACATTCCTCAGTATCGTTCTGTTAAACATTTCTGTAGTGGAAGCGATCTGCATTTATCGTTGATGTTTTCTCTCCCATGAACTAAAATACAAATTTCTCAGAGAAAAAGTTGATTTGAATGTCCTTGCAAGTGTTCTGTGATTCATATCCGTTTACGCCCTTTAATTTCGAAATAAGTACTAGAACAAGCTGGATAGACGTATTATAAATGATGCAATTGGTTATTTCAAACTATTGTGTAACTAAGTGTTATTCATATTCTTTTATCACAAAATAAAGAGATTATTCATTTCTATGAATATAGAAATATATAGTGATAGTTTCTTTGAATCTCTCTGCTATTCGGTAGTTGACACTGTATGATGTAATAACATTTCTGATCTTGCATAATAAATGGTAACTATATGTTACTATCAATTTTCTCTAATTATGTCCATTAATTTCGCAAAAACAAAAAAGACTTTTAGTTAATAGTATCATCTCATCTGAAACACAAAAAGAACTCGTTTCAGTCTCCGTACCTCTTTTCAATTCTATCAGCTTTTCGAATCTTCCTCAATAGGCGTGAATATTTAAGTAATACATATTACTGCCGTACGGTCATAACTTTGCTGAGATTTAGTTACGACGGTTAGAGTTCAACAGCGAGATACTTTCGATTGATTTAAGAACATTATTAAAGAAGATTCTATATTGTATTATTCGAGCAAAGTATGTTTAGCAGAGAAAGTTTAAAAGGCATACTCGTAAGTCTGGATCAACGTGTACACATTTTTCATTTCTCATCCTCTGTATGAAAAATAAGGAGATGGTAAATTTATATATCAGAGGTGTGCGATGGACGAGGATCCTGCGGGAAGAATTTTTAAAAACTTGACGACACACGGAACGATAACGAGGCAAGAACTATACGAGGCGAAGTTCGCGGAGGACATTTTTTGCTTCTTAGCGAAAGACGAAATGGAGACGCTGGATGGAAGTCTTTTCAGTTCACTTGAAAAATATATTTGTTTAGTAGGACATCTACTTTGCACACTGCAGTTTCCCCAAGTGGAACCTAAAACTCTAACAGTAACAGTTGTATATTGTAAAGGCTATTTCTGTCCTATTTTATTTGTTCTTCTGTCTTCGTATTACGTGCCCTGTATATAAGACATCCTAGTTATTTGATTTTCTCTTTTACGGATTTCCTCTCGCTCTCATTCTGTTCTTTGACCTATTCTCAGGAGGATTGATGAAGAAGTGTCGGCGAGAACCTTTGTCAATAGTTGACGATGGATGAGGGGGTGCGGGGGCAGAAAGCTTACGGAGCGGTTCCAGCAGGGAAGAATTTTTAAAAGCTTGACGAGGTACAGGGCGATGACAAGGCAGGAAGTTGCGAGGCGAAGCCCGCGATGGAGATAAAAACAGTCCATCGCCCACCTCTGGTATGTATACCTCATTAAGGCTTTATAAAAATCGAAGTGATATGGTATCATTTACTTCTTTATTATTTGTTTATGATTGCTTTTACTCCTTGACAGATGTCTACTTGACGTGATTTACTGTTTTATCACGAGTATGAGTTTGCTTTACTACAAACTTCACTTCTTCTATGACTATAACTTTTGTGCACTTTGTTGGTCCCTGAATAGTCAAGTTAATTTCTTTCCATTAATTATGCATCATAAATATCATCATAGCTCGAATTGTATAATGAAAGTTATGTAAAAAATTATGACTTTTTTCATTTCATGGTTTTGTTTTCTTCTGTCTTTTATTTTAAACTTCAAATCTGTAATAATATACAAAAAGATTAGTTAAAATAACATCGTGTCAGATGCATGATTTCAATGATCGTGCAGAATATAAATGATTTTACTCTTGCTCTTTAGTACAAATCTAAATTCGTACTTCTATTCGTAGAAAACTACTTTTGTATTTTCAATAATTCAAGTTTTAGAATACAAAAAGGAGGTTTATACCGCATGGATAAAGCTTAGGTCAAAAATATATATAACGAACTTTCATATATGAATCAAACAAAATAGACTGTTTTTATCTGAAAATAATTGCTCTTTCTTACGTGTTATACTGCCTTCGTTTTCTGACTAATTTATTAATATCAAACAAAATAAAAATAAAAAAATAAGCAAACAAATTTATGTAGGAAGAAAGTACCAACAATAAATACACAGCTTTTTTGTCACTCAAAAAAATGTTATTTTGTAAATTTATATCATAGTTGATTTCTTCTTAAACATTTGAGTTGCACATTTATTAGTGAATGATCAAACAATAGCCTGCTGATGAAAAAGAAGCGAGAATCTAAACCTTTCACTGTTATTAAATTCAGACCAACTCAAAATATCTTTTATAATGCTGAATAATGGCATAATACGTAAAAGATTTTGAAATCGTAGCACTTTTGTTATAAATGATTTTTAGCTGGTAGTCAGTCCGTCTTTCTTAACTTTGTTGAAATAATGTATCTCTTTTATTTTGAGAGAAATTTTCTCTCTCACAACGTCATTTATCGAAATAACATTATACATCGTTTTTGAAGAGAAACTCTTTTGAATAAATCAGTGTCTCATTGATTCTTTGAAAAAGAAATTTGCTTGATTCATTTTGTAAAAAAAATAATGAAAGTATTTTTAGTTTAATTTATTTCTCTTTTTTCTGCTGGTGGCAGAGGCAGATACACAGTTCTTACATTTATCTGAAGTCCTTGTAGATTTCAACGTAATAGCTAAGTGGACGAAAAGTACACATATCCAATGTGTACGTTTACTTTTCTCCTTTCTTACTGTTTCATGTTTGACTCATAATTTACTATTTTGCGGTACATCTCGTTATTCATCACAAAAAACAACAAAACTCAAATCAATTGACAAGAATGTTTTCGGTTTATATTTCATTGTTAACATCACTGATGGGGAAATTTTAGTAGATACCGCGGCGTGTACACACTGGTGAACGTCGTGAAACGAAATGTGAGCGCAGGTGAACATCGTTAAATGATTTATTGACATGCGTGAAAAAATTATCCGCTTGTGACCAATCGTGAACTATGCACGATAATGTTTTCGTAGCTTCTTAGAAGAGATATAAATCCATATTTTACAATGCATCTGTTTTAATCGATATAAAAAGTATCTCTTTTGAGAAACGAATATTTTGGCAAGAAATTTCGTTTCTCAAAAGAGATACATTACCTCTCATTTCAATATTCATAATAAAAATGAAATTAAATAAGAAGTAGATCAAGATTATCTTAAGTGGTAATTAGTACTTATATTTAAAAAAAAAATTCATTTTTCAAAAAATATTTAAGTTGTCAACTATTTGTAAATCGTAAATGTCAACTGTTGTGTCGAAATGTTTTTAAAATTACCACTTATCTTGATTGCTTCTACCTCGCTTTAATATTACCGTAAAAAAGTTTTACTTACGAAAACGCGATGCATACAAATCTTGTTATAAAAAGTAGCACTTCACATGAATGCACGTGTCATTTTTTCATGTAGTTCTTTTCTGTATACACGTTTATCCACAAGGGAAAATGTTTCGATTAGTTAAGACTTACCGGAAACTCTATGCAAAAGTGTTTACGGTACAATTTTTTTGATCGGGAAACTTTATTTATTTGATAACAAGCGTGCAATTTTTAGCACTCACGTTGAAATTCCTCACACAGGTGAGGGATTTTAATATACCGTGATTTTTCTTCTATAAATAGAAAATCTCAGAATTTTTCAAGCAAAATTCTTACTAAGGTCCACGCGCGATCGCACGTGAAAATCTCTTCATGCGTAAAATATGGTAAAAATTGATTCTACATTCTCCGATGTCAAGTTGACTCAACGATAACGTTACGGATTTGCAATTCAAAGTGGCTTGGTTCGACTCTAAATTTCAGGAAATATATCTTGAAAGCCATAATTGTGTTACATGTGACCACGCATGAGGATTGTTCACTTATGTACACAGGCGTAGATTTTTCATGCAAATTTTTCCGCTAAAATTTCCGTGAAGCATCTGTGCTCGTGTACACAAGTAAACAATCTTCACGTGTAGGCACGCATTTGATATTGCAAGTGCATGATCCCCAAGTCGTGAAGTTTGTTATCTTTACCTACACAGTTTCGTAAAAGCCCAAGCTGACATTTCACGGTCCCTCATGCGTGAAAAGTCGATAAAAT